TACTATGTCCCCGCTAAACAATCGATTAGACAAGAACTTCTTAAGCGACACTATAATAGTGAGCTTGCCGGTCACTATAGTACAGAGAGGTCGTACGAGTTACTATCGCGCACATACTACTAGCTAAATAGTGAGCGGGATATAAAGGATTACGTAAATACGTGTGCCGTATATTAACGAGTCAAAGCACTAAAGCACTTACCATTTAGCGAGTTGTCTTTACTCCCTGTTTTAAAGAAGCCATTTACTAAGCTTACAATAGATTTTATTATAGGCCTCCCGCCTGCTAAGCGTAGGGGCAGTAAGGATGTGTATAATGCCATCCTAGTTGTCGTAGACCGGTTTACTAAGGGCGCTCGTTACATTCCTACCCGAAAGGATTGGACGGCTATTGACCTAGCTAAGTCGCTATAGAACAATATCTTCTATAGCTATTAGGGGACCCCTAAGGGGATAGTCTCCGATCGAGGCTCGATATTCATATCTTACTATTAGAGTAAGATTTGCCTATAGCTAAGACTCAAGCATCGCCTGTCTACAGCATTCTATCTACAAACAGATAGTTAGACTAAAAGGCAGAATACTACCCTGTAGCAGTACCTACGCAGTTACATTAACGAGAACCCTAACGACTAGGTCAACCTTCTACAACCTGCAGAATTCGTGTATAACAACAGTGTACACTCATCTACTAAGGTTTTACTATACATAGCTATAATGGGCTAGAACGCCGCCTTGCTATAAGATCCATTTACCTCGCTCGAGGCCGAACGTAAGGAAAGGGAAGCGCGTTAAGTACCAATACCTAAGACGCTAGCGGCTATTAAGAGGGTTTAAAAGATGCGAGAGATTCACGCTAAGTTAGCTAACAAACTAGCAAAGGCCCAGGTATATCAGAAGGCCTACTATAACAAACACTATACGCTAATAACCTTCAAGCAAGGCGATATAGTCATGCTAAGCACTAAGAACCTCCGTATCCGCAAACACCTATCACCTGATAGCAAAACAAGGCCTAAGCTTGTACCTAGATACATTGGCCCATTCCGAATCCGAGAACCGAAGGGCAATAGCTAGGCCTATCAGTTATAGCTCCTACTACACTATACTATCTATAATACCTTCTACATCTCCCTCCTTAAACTATACTACTATCGCGAAGGCCCTAAAGAAGCCCCTGCTAAACACGAAGACATACTAGCGGATAGTGAAGAACTATAGTCTATAGAACGTATCCTACAGTACCGGACTAGGAAAGGCAAGAAGGAGTACCTGTTGAGATAGTAAGGCTATTTACTAGAATGGGACTTATAGGAAGCCGAAGACTCCTTTAAGGATATGACCGAGTTGTTAGATAAGTATTAGACTAGCGTAAAGAATAAGAAGAAGGCCAAAAGCTTATAATGTCACTACTAAGACCTAGGACTAATGCCACCCCCGGGGTGCTATTAGCTAACCAATCGGAGGCCGGCAAACTAGGACAATAAGACTACACTAGGCGCGCTACTACGCGTTAATCAATCAGTTACTGCTCTTTCAAGAATTCCACCTCTTGTTCCTTTATTTTATCGAGGCCTCGAGGCCTAAGCGGTCGGCAAGGACGGCGTAGCCGGCGTAGCTATATTAGTAACGGTATTGCGGAGTGTGTTGCTATTTAAGAAAGGAAGAAGCAGCTATGTTAGTAACGGTGTTGCCGAGTTGTTGTTAGTTAAAGGAAACTAGAAGAAGGTGAAGTTAGCGCTAAGACGACTAGCGCCGCTATTGTCAACATTACCTGCTCGCTAACATCGCCAACCTTACCTATTGTCGCTACTGCACCTGTAAAACAACCTTACCTGCACTACGAGCCTAAGGCGCTATACTAACTAATTAAAGATTGAACCTATTAAAGGTTTGATCAAAACTTTGAGGCTAAGTCAAAACTTTAAGCCGCTCAAAAGATTGAGTAGACTAATAGACCGACTAACTAAGGGCAAAACTATAGAGCTAAGCTAGCCGGGGTCGATCTTGCGGATAATAGGTTACTCCTCGATCTATCTAACCCTTTAAGCGAGGCGAACCTCTACTACTGCACTTATAATAGCCTTTACCTATAGAAACTAGAAGAACTAAGTTTTTTAAAAAGATATAATTAGTTGACACTTAAAGGCTGCTAAACCTAGCTAATTAGGGCTAGCGAAACTACGAACAGTAATAGTCCTCGTAATAACAAGAACAACCCTCGGAACGGACAAACCCTCGGAGCGGATATTTCTAGGTCTTTTAGAGTAGACGCAAAGAACTCGGTACGACATCACTTAGAACGGAGGTAGGGCTGCAATACCTCGTACGTCTACCTATTATAGCAGAGAAGACGCGCTCGTATTGTAATTAGTCGAAGGTCCTCAATTCTCGTAGTTATATATCACTTTATTGTATGCAAGTATAGCGCAGTTAGAGTTAGACATTGTGTTGTATTAGAGGTAAGGTTTAATATAGTTATATAACCGGTGATTGCGTGTTCAATTCAGCGCGGACTGAGAAGCTTGCTAGACCTACTAAGTTAGTAGCGACAGAGGTTGAGAATAGAACATAGACCGGCTACGAGGGCGCGGCCTTTAGAAGGGAAGCGTGTATCAGGACTAAAGAGGTTACACGTGATTGGCATGTAACTAGGCTCGAGTGAAGCTAGGGTCTTGATGCCTTAGGTAGGGCTTGGCGCTTAGCGTTAGGCTAACTAGCCTGCCTTCCTCCCTCTCCTCTTAGATCTCTATCGAATACTACACTGATTCACTACTACCCTATCTACCTGCTAACATAACCCATCTCACAACGATATAGTGTTGCTATATTACTATTAGTACAGACAAAAAGCTCTTAACTTTAAGAAGAGACTAATAAAGGAGTATAAGCTTAGTAACCTAGGGAAGCTCTTATAGTTTCTCGGTATTGAAGTTATACGTAATAGACAGAACAGGAAGCTATAGTTGTTACAAAAGGCATATACTAAGAAGATAGGTTAGCGTTATAGAATTGATCCTAAGACTAGTAGGCGAGCAGAGGCACTATTGCCGACTAGATACGAACTATACGAGAAACCCACTAATAAGGAGACTCGTTATATAGACTTATTAGCAATACTGGCCTACTAGAGCCGTATAGGATTACTTAACTTTTCAGTAGTTTAAACTAGGCCGGACATAGCTAAAGCAGTTTCTATGCTATTAAAGGCCCTTTAGAACCTACGATAAGAGGACATAGCCGCAGCCAATTAGTGTGTCAAGTACCTGCTATAGACAAGGTACCTATGCTTAGAGTACAACGCCGATGGACTAGCAGTTACCGCCTATTTAAGCCAATAGCTTTACGAATTTTACGGAGCTTCTAACGCTTCCTATAGCGACTATACGGGTACGAGACAGTTATTAGAAGGATGGATATTCAGTCTATTTAATAGACTAGTTAATTAGAAAGCAGCGCGACAGTCAACTGTTACTAAGTCTACGACTAAAGCCGAGCTGCTAGCTGCCTTATATACAGGCTTAGAACTGATCTGGTAGAAGCGCTTCTTTAGTAATATTAGCCTTACCTTAGACAGTATACCGGTGCTATACTGTAATAACACACAGACTATTCGAATCATTAAGGCGGATGCTAGCAAGTTAGACACCAAGCTCAGGCATATAGACATTCATTAATGCTAGCTACGCTAAGAACATAAATCAGGTCGCATACAATACGAGTATCTAGCAATATAGGACATACTAGCTAATAGGTTAACCAAGCTCTATAGCCCTTAGAACTAGAAGAGGTTCATTGAACAGCTAAGACTAACTAGACTACCTAACCTAACAACTAACTAAGATATACAGTTGTAAGGGTATATAAGGAAGTAACTCTTCCTCTAACAACCTCTTCCTCTTTAGTAACACGAAGACAACTCTGTATAATAGGTAGTAGGCGCCGCCCCCCCTATTAATTGTAACTAAGTCGATTAAGAACATCTTTATTAATTGGCGCTAACAAAAGTGTCTAATACGATAGCGACGACCAATTAGGACAAAGGATTTAACCTTACTTCCTAATACGTTATTATCGCCTATATTATTACTTCGAACGTCACTTCTACTAACTAATAACAAGTCTACGGCGATTGTATTAGTGCTAGTAATGATAGTGCAGTAGTCTTAGCTAAGGGTGGCGTCCTTAGTTAAGTTACCTATCCTAATTTATTAAATCTGTTTAACTAATGTATATCTTACCTGATCCTTTATCTAATTAAATAGACGCTATCTATACGATTGATATAATAACCGATAGTAATAATGTAACGGGCTTAGTTCAGCTAAACTAACTTTACTATACGACACGAGTACTTAGATAAGGCTTAATAGTGTCGGTCTATGCTTAGACTACGTAGGAAGACAATAGTTCCTAGTAACAGGGACTATATATGAAGGTGCATATACAGTCCGGATTATATAACGATATCCTTCTAGGGTAATCGGGGTATAAAATAAGACTCTCTTATATATAGTGTAGATTCAAACCATTTTTTTAGTATTTTAATAAAGCACTATATAAGGAGTTGAAAAGATTAATTTTTCTTTTGTTTACATATAAAGAAGTATTAACTACCTTGCCTAAAATAGAAGGCAACCTCTTTTGCATAAGCTAAGGGGGTATATAACGCGTTAGCTCAGTTACATAACAAGTACGTAACTTCTTAGCTTGAAGAATTTTCATTGTATTTTAGACTATAGAATAGAGTAGAACATAGGCAATCAACGAAGCCAATTCAACCGCCGGCAATGCAGTATTACGTAAGTAATCCACTGCGCTGTGCGTGATATGAGGGCAGAGTGCAGGTGTGCCCAAGCGTTCAGGCTCGGCTCGATCCGGAAGTGTGCATGCTTCCAGAAAATGGATAGAAGACTTCCAGTTCTTCATCTCTCTCCAGTCTTGCTTGTATCCTGCGGATTCATCGAGTCTTCACCGTGCAAGCCTAATCATACTCGTGGTCATGAAATTGCTTTTGCACCACCTTCTGCTGCTATCCGTCCTCTACGACGCTGCGTTCCCACCGCCGCCTTATCGAATTCGTTCTGCTTCTTTGCGGTGACGTTTTGGTCACTCTTACGCCTAGGCTTCGACTCTCGCTTGCTGGTCACCTTCCTCGCCGCTTGGGGCTTCTTCGTGCTCCTCGCTCTTGCAGCATTGTGGAGCTGAGTGTCAATGCTCGGCGTGATATCGTCGTCGAAAGTCAGACTGCGATTGGCTCAGTTCTCGCACACGGTAAGACTCAGCACAGCCCGTGGACGTACTCTGACAACCTCCGTGGCAGAGGAGTACGCTTAGCTGCGATCACGACCGCTCTCCTCTTCAGGACCATTGTCTCCTCCGAGTTGAATAGCTCCGCATCTTCAGCTTTGCGCTTCTTCTCCAAGAGCTTCTTCATGTTTGAGTCGTTCTCCCAGTCGTGGCTATTTGAGCCCTGCTTGGAAAGTGGCGCCATGATGTCTCAGATCTGGGTATAGTTCAGCACTTTGTTGTGCTCCGTGCGGCATTCGCGTTCACATGAAGGTTTGATACAGCGGAATCGGCGCCGGCTTGGCATTGGCGGGGCAATGTTCTCTTGATCAACAAGGATTAGTTCTGAAGGATGGATCCCAACAGCACTTCAGCTTCAGCCAACGGTTCTTGCCGATGTATCGCCTCCTCAGTCTTGGCCGGATGGCGAAGGAGTTGAGATCGGGCGGGGTGTGAAAAGAGAAGCATGCGTTTCAACAAACAGGTCCAAGACAGGACCACAATAGCCACACGCGACAGCTTGACCTTTCGTCTTCGTCATGACGGGGCCGTGACGATGACTACGAAGCAAGACCTTCTCGATTTGATCAATGCAGAATCGGACAAACATATCGGCCTCTTGCGATCTCTTATCCGAGCGCCGACTCCGAATCCACCTGGAGACACCAGGCAGGGCATTGACGTAGTCAAATCTCACTTGGAGGCAGCCGGCATTTCATTTGACATTATCGCACCCAAAAGAGAGTCACCAAATCTGGTCAGCATTCTCCGAAGGGAGACCGAATCTGACCACAAGAAGAGCATAGTTCTCAATGGTCACATCGATCAATTTCCGGTAGGAGATGCAGGTCAATGGCAGCGTGATCCGTACTCTGGCGATGTCGAGAATGGCCATGTATATGGTCGCTCCGGAGTCGACATGAAAGCCGGCACTGCAGCCTCGATAATAGCTTTCAGCTATCTGCACAAATTCCGATCCCAGCTCTCAGGTCGTGCCACTTTGGAAGTCGTGTCAGATGAGGAAAGTGGTGGAAGATGGGGCACTCGGTACCTCTTGGAAGATGATGGCTCAGAAAACTGGAGTGGTGACTGTATCTTGATAGGAGAGCCAAGCGGCCTGGGCAGCATTCGTTTTGGCGAGAAGGGAACATTCCGTCTGACTTTCACTGTCACCGCTCAAGCCGCTCACGGTGCTTACATTCATCGTAGCGAAGGAGCCATTCGCATCGCCTCCAGGTTGATTGAAAGGCTGGTGGAAATGGAGAAGCTTGCAGACCTGGGCATGGACAAGAAAATTAAGAAGCACATGCAGCAGCCTGATGTCCGCAAGGTTGCCGATGAGATCATGTGGCCAGGAGCAGCAGACGCTATGCTCATCCCGACAGTCAATATTGGCACGATCAAAGGCGGCGACAAGATCAACATGATCCCTTCCGAATGTATCTTCGAAGCTGACATCCGCATTCCTATTGGCGTCAAGACCGACACGATTCGGAAGTATATCGATGGTATTCTACAGGACTTCCCTACCGCTTCTTATTCCGTCCATGAGGACCATTCGCATATTTCCACGCACAGTCAGCCTGATCACGAAATGGTTCACCTCCTGCAAAAGAACGTCAAGCAGCTACGCGGCGAGGAGCCTGTGGCGATATGTTCACTTGGCGCTACGGATTGCAAGCATTTCAGACGGCACAACGTTCCCGCTTATGCTTATGGGCCGCATCCGAAAGGCATGGCAGAAAGGGATGAGAAGGTGAAAATTGAAGAGTTCCTCGATACTGTCAAGGTACACACCTTGACTGCATGGGACTATCTTGGGGGAGAAAGCTAGTATCAATTTACCTGCCCATCAACCATAGACGTCGCAAGGATCGAGTGCCTTCCATGTGCAAAGAACTGCGACGCCAGGTCGCCCGTCCATTCGTTCGTGTTCAGCTCCAAGCCTCTCGACCTCTCCGGTGATCAGGTGTGGTTACTTAAGGCCTTCCGCGCTTTACTTCTTACTGGCCGGAGTGTAGTTGCTGGAGCCGCTACCGCTGTTGTAATAAGTCGAGCCGTTCGGGTCTGTCATGCACATCATCAGTAACGCATTTCATGTTCTGGCCCCACAGTCGCCCTTACTGGAGTAGTAGTAGCTACCGTTGGAGTTGCTGTAGTGGTAGCTGTTGGAGTTCGAGGCGGATGAGCCGTAGTCGCGCGAGCAGTAGTGGTTGCCCTGCTGGTAGTCAGTATGCATCAATGCTCCGGTAGCAATACTACTTACAGACGAGTTGGTGCCGCTGGAGGAGACCGAGTAGTTTCCGCCTTGAGTGCTACCGGAGCCACCGGAGCTGCATGAGTTGGTATTGTTGCTTGGCATGATGGATGGAACTGTTTGTGTGTTTGAATGTTGCGGTTATGGAGAACCTTGAAGTAGGGGAAACTGCTGTCGTTTTATATGACAGCAGCGGTGAAGTGGTCCGTTCCTGAGCAAACCAGAAGACCCCGCGTAGAGCTATGACTTCTTTCGAGAGCAAGCAACCCCCGGTTTTGAAGAAGGTGCAAGTGAATGTTGGTTCCCGTTAGTTACTGTAGGGGGCCGATTCAAAGGGAAGCTATCAGCTTGATAAGGAAAGGTTTAGGCAGCAACACCACTGAAAGACGACTATTCATTAACATAGCTCTCACAGTTTCCACTTTAAATGCCGTCTGAGACATGCAATGCTTGGATACAAGCATGTCTGAGATTGATCACAAACGAAGCGCCGAATTATGGCCACGGAAAGGCGCATGAAGGTTCCGGTTGCGTTGCGTACAGCAGCGGCAAGAGCTGAGCGATTCAAGAAGGGTAAGGATGTCATATTCCCCCACTCATGTGTATTACGCTATTCAATATGTCGCGCTATGCGCTCGGAGGACCATGGAACTTGCTGCGGTGTGGCTGCACTATAATTAGTATAGAATTAGCTTCTTAGCGGTTTCCCACCTCTCTGCTGAAATGATACTATACCTACACCTCGTCGTCGCTATTTCTATAGTATACACCCCTCGAATGTGTTGTTAATAGCGCGTTTGCTAGACTATTAGCTTAATAAGATTAAGCGCCTCTTCGACGAGGGCGAGTTATCTAATATTGCTATCTCCGAGCTACTAAACATCGCTAGGCGCAGTATCGACAAGATCTATAACAATTATCGCCTATTTAGTATATTCTATATTAAAGACCTCGCGAGGTTAGGTCGTCTATAGTCGCTATTACCAATCTTTAAGGATATAGGTATCGCTAAGCGCGTATAGTCGCAATTTGACTAACCTACCCTATTTGTATAGCGTATCTTCGAATTCCTTAACGACCGACCGTATGCCTATTAAGATAAGGTAGTATAGTATCTGTACGACGAATACGACGTTATTATTAGCTAACCGACGGTGTCGCGAGTTTTAAAGAGGCATAGGTAGACGAGGAAGAAGGCGATACGGTTTATAGCGGAATAGAACTAGGACCTTCGAGACAACTTTAAAATAAGGCAAATAGACATGCCAGCGCAGAAGGTAGTATATATAGACGAGAGCGCGTCTAATAAGCGCACCGGATAGCGGAAATATAGATACGGTCCTATTAACTGCCCTGTTTTTAAGGAAGGGTCGGCGGTAAGGTTAAAGCGATAGAGTGTCTTGCCTACTATCTCGGTTAATAGCTATCTCGACGGTACGATTATTTATTAAGGCTCTATAACCGCGGAGATCTTTAAGGCGTAGTTACAGTATATAGTACTACCTTAAATAGAGCCTAGTATATTCCTTGTTATAGACAACGTATTAATCTACCGTACTTAGCGTATAAAGGATATAGTCGCGGCGGCTAGAGTCCACCTTCGATACCTGCCTCCGTATTCGCTAGACTTCAACCCTATTAAGTTGTCCTTTAACGTACTTAAGGCATAGGTTAAGAAGCATATTAACGAGGCTAATTGCTTCGTAGACTTCGGCAAATTTATACGGTATGCTATTAACCAACTAGACACTTAAACAATAGCAGGATCGTAGTTCTAGCGAGCAGGTTATCGCTAATATTAACAGTTACTCCCTTATAGTCTCACTTATTCTAACGATTGTCTCTAGCTTAGTAATACGGCTTCTTAACTCGTCTATCTCCTGTCTCATTCCTTCTATAATAGCACGCGTAGTATTAGTAGCTTGCTCCTTCATTATAGCTTCTATATACTATAGATCTGGCAATACTAGCTATAGTAATAAGCTTTTTGACTAAATAGCTAACGATAGTAATACAGTTGTCGGTGATATAGTAGTAGCATCTCGGATAAGGTCCTCTTCGTCTTCTTAACTATCGGCAATCTACGAGGAATTAGCAAAACCTATAAACATACCCAATCGGTGTACCTCTAATGCGCTACCGGTAGCTATTGCGATAAAAGAGCTTGGAATTTGGTAGGTTCTGTGCCGTTTCTATCGCTAGTGTTACCTTAGGTTTATCGAAGGCGGCGTAGTTAGTATGTCAATATATTCGTATCGCAATCGCGTATCGATCCGGAGAGTACAGCTTCGAAAGCCGGAATCTATACCTACCGATAGGGTACTACTACAACACTACTATAATACGTCTTTATTATTGCTTCGGTAGGATATAATACTATCGATACCGCTAAGAAACCTCCCGTTGTCCGTTTTAAAAAATATGCACCTCTAGTAAAGATATAGGCTCGCTAATGTATTGGAAATTCGCGACTACGAGCGCTTCCTCTATGCCGAGACTGCCGAAATTTCGGCTTCCGCTCGGCGTAGGAGCTTAGCGGGTCCGGACTTAAGAAGCTGATTTTAACTATACTAACACGACACTAGCGCAATACTATAACGCATTGCTTTTTATTACTACAAGTATAAAGAGGCGAGACTATATCTATCTAATGCTCCTCTAATTTATACTATACAAAAATACGTAGTATTAGTAGACTAAGAAGCGACATCAGTTAAGCTAAATATTAGCTATTAAGCCGCCGACCTATAACCGGAAATCCTCGCTTCTCGCTTCTACACTAAAACAGCGCTTCTGTAGCGCTTCTACGGCTAATTAACGAACAGACTATCGTCCGACTTATTAATACGAGTAAGTCGCTGCTTACGGACTTCCTTACTAATATATCGCCCTACTGCGGCGATAAATCGAGCGTATTAGCCTTCCTTGAGTCTATAGCGGACCTAATCGCTCAATTTGACCCTTCTAAGCTGTTTGAGTAAGAAGTCGCCTTCCTCGTAGATACGCTTAATCTTAGCTATATCGGCGTATCGCTTAGTCTAGCTGCTAGTTAACTCTTTACGCAACTAGCTAAAGAAGCCTATCAATTCTATGTCGGCAGTGTAAGATTAATAGGAAGCGATTGAGCCGCTAACTAGACTTGATTGCGGCGGTGGACTAGAAGCCGGTAGACTAGAAGCCGGTGGATTAGACCTAGAAATGGCGCCTCTACGACCCTTGCTATTAGACTAGCTATAATAGTTGTGGATTACTACTAGGGTTGGCGTTATTAGTGCGACAGCACGTCTACTACTACTAGCTTATTGTCTAAATGGATTAGACAACTGCTTGTCTCGTTGCTTCTATATCTTTAATGCTAGTGCCGCTCTAGGGTCGTCGATTGTTAGCCTTCTAGCTAGATTAGCCTCTCGAGTCCCCTTAACCTATCTAGCGGCTATTTCCGGATAGATCTTGCAGTAGTCTTCTGCTCTGTCTAGACCGCTAAACTAGCACAATCTACCCTTATTCGGGCAGTATCTGTTCTTATAGGGCTACCGCTAAGCAAGGGCGTATCGCAGGTCCGTTAGTAAGCTAGTAAGGTCGTCGCTATTATCGTTAGGAGCCGCTTTATCTTCCGAGCGACCTTCAGCTAGCAGGGCAGCCAACTGTTGCTAAGTCGCTATATTCCGCGGTCTCTAAGAAGCCTATTGAGTCCGCCGTAGTTGTTGAGTTGCAGGCTCGTTAGGAACACTAGTTAGCTTAGCTATAACGGTCAATTTAAACTCGAGGCGCAAGCCTGTCTTGCCTTGACTATTCTAGATAGCTAGCATAGTATATGCGCGCTCAAAATTGAGGTCCGTTATACTAGAGCTACGGTAGAAGTGTTTAGCCTTTACCTTGTCCGTAGAGGCTATTATAATAGCACTCTTAAGACTGAATATAAGCCGGTTGTTGCCTTTGTCGCGCTAGTCGTTAAACTAGTAGTCTACGGCTTTATAAGGCGACTCGTAGCTCAACTCGCTTAGATAACACTCGCTTAGCAAGGCTTCCTTCTGCTTGTCCGTATATAGGTTCTACTACATAGTGTATTCAAAGACCTCGACTTCTTTATTGTCGCTAGAAGTATAGTCTTCTTTATCTACGGTGTCTTGGCGCTAAGAAGTCGTTGAATCTAGCAACTCGTCGTTAGTATCTAGCTCTTCCGGACTATCACTTGATAGTAGTGGCTCTTTACGTCGTTGTCTCTTGGCGGTAGCGGCTTTAAGGGCTTCCTTCTTCTTCGTAGTAAGCTTATATAGTCGCTTCGAGGCTCTCGGCATACTAGCGTAGCAATAGAATAGACGAGAGGGTGCTAAAATAGCTAGCTCTTAACCTTGAGGCTCACTAGGAGGTTGTAAATGGATAGAGGTAAGAAAGGCTTTCGCACCGGATCGCATTCTATACCTAATTTGTATAGTGCGGTAGATACTCGGCAAAGATACAGATACGCGCTAATTTCCATCCCTCCGAGCGTATAGCGCGACTTATTAAATAGCATAATAGTGATTTAGGTCCCCACTTACGCACTGTGGTCACATGCTTACGAACACTACTAGGAAGTGTTATAGACTACTATCGCGTTCCAAGACTGGCAGCTTGCAATGTATTTGTTTTGATTACTAATCGTATATATATCTCGACTACCGAGGCTAGTAAACTTCGATAGCTAAAGGCTCTTAGACTCTACAACTATAGGCCTAGGTATCTTTATATTATATATAATATAGCTATTTATAAGGTTCTAGGAATACAATACTAGTTTTAGAGAATATTATAATTTTAGTCTCTATATATATCTATGCCCTAGTTTATAAAGGGAAATTTACTAATCTTACAATTCTTAGTTATAGTTATGCTTTTTTAAGTTATATAGTAGTTTGTTCTAGCTATAGTATATAGTTTAGTAGGGCTTAGTATAAGTACTAGTATCTAAATAGCAGTTTGCTACTAGTCTAGACGCGCGCTATTAATTCCCTTAGACTCTTAGTTAGTAGGCTTTAAATATTTAGTTAGAAAATTAAATATATCTATAGCAAATACTAAGTACTACTTAGCTAATTGCTATAGTAAGAGAGAATAGGACTTTAGCTATATACTAACATAGCGATTTAGACTTTAGTAGTAAATTTACTAGTAGTAAAAGTTATTAAACTTAGCTTAAAATATATAAATAAAACTTAATTATTTAGGCTATATATAGAATAGATACTAAAAGAATAGATATACTACCTTAGTAGAGGCCTAGATATATTATGTGTAACCCCCTAATTACTAGTAGTTACCCTCTAG